TAATAATAATAATAATAATAATAATAATAATAATAATAATAATAATAATAATAATCATCCTGACAGGTCTTTGAAGGTAAGTCAGATATCTGAGTGGTTTTACTGGTTCCATACCCCTAATGAGCTTCCATGGCTGCGCAGGGATTTGAATCCAGGCTCCTGAGTCCAAGCCCATCATCACTCTATCCAGTGGTTCCAAACTTAGGTCCCCAGATGTTCTTGGACTACAGCTCCCAGAAATCCTGGTGAGCACAGCTAGTGGTGAAGGCTTCTGGGAGTTTTAGTCCAAGAATATCTGAGGACCCAAGATTGGGAGCTACTCTATCCATTACAGCATACTGAGTATCCCCAAATGACTTCCCCACATAACTCTACTGTCCAGTAACATATCAGGTCACACAGAGGCATGCTGGGACAAAGGAAGGCTTGAAAACAGTATAGTACTTGTTTCTCTGATAGGTAAATCTCTTATCGAAACAAGCTCACCCTGTTCACATCTTGATACTGCCAGAAAATGTGTATTTCTGAAAGCTGCTTCATGCTAACTGTGCAGCTTGAAGGATTACGAGTACCTCATGTTTTTATGACTCAAAACCAAGAGTGTTTGAACTGACACAAACATTCACATGGAAACCCACAGATCTAGTGCAAGCAGGGCTTGCTAGTCCTGCTGAATAAACACATAAGATTTGGGAGGCACCTACCCATGTTTCTGCAAACAGCCATTAGAGCTGGTTCATATGACATCTTCTGTAGCTCAAGGAATTTCAAAGCTTGCCTAGACACGGCACCAACATGAAGTCAGAGGAGGGAACAATTTGGGGAGCCATTATAATCTGGGCCACAGCTGTGGTTGTATATGTGCTTCTGGTGTTCTTCAGCCCTGGTTACTTTTTAAAAACCACCCACCAACTCTCTAGATCTTTCATTTCTAGGCATATAAAGAAAAGTGTACACTGCAGAGTAATCTGTTCAAGAGGCTGCATAAGATCTTATCACCTTCCATGAGTTGAGTTAGCAATTATCTCTCTGTGAAACCAGCCCTGTGGCTGTGCCAGCTGCAGTTTTCAGTTGTAGTAGCTGTGCACACAGCAACAAAAAGTCCTTAAGGGGAAATGAAGTTGTCCTATAACCATTATGATTCAGGAGTTGCACCTCTGAGAAACTGTTGGGGGAGGATTCCTTTTCCCTGCAGAATTCTGGTGAAATGATCCTTCCCTCCCAATTTCTCTGCCCATAAANCGGGGGGGGGGGGGGGCAGGGAAGAGAGAATTTTTAGGCATCCTTTGTGTATAGTTCTGAGTGTAATCTACCAGATAGGATTGTTATGAGGATTAAATGGTGTGGAGCATAATGTATACCACTATGTGTTTCCTGAGAAAAGCTGGAATTCATAGATGCAATAAAAAAGATGAGATCTGGTAACCAGGAGGTGGGGGGCTCAGTGTATGAATTTGCATTCATGGATTGAAAGTTCCACATGACCCTGTACGTCAGACACTCTTCTTCTTGATCACTCCTGAAAGCATCCATAGTTTACCCAGGAGATTCCTATGCAGGACAACGAAAAAACAGTGCGTTAACACAGGGGTCCACAATCCCTGATCTGTGGCCTGGTGCGGGTCTGTGGGCTTGCTGGAAGTGGGCCGCAGAGATGGATCTCCACCCCCCTGCTCGGTGGGCATGTTGCACTCACGCAGGGGGCGTGTCACGCTCATGGTGGGCATCGTGCTCATACAGGGGTGTGTCATGCTCGTGCGAATTTGCAATGTTGCACCGCAAGTGTGGGGGTGCCCCCCGCACAGAGCCTGACCCCCCCAGTCCGTGGTCCCAAAAAGGTTGGGGAACGCTGCATTAACATAAGAAGAGCCCTGCTGGATGAGACCAAGGGCCCATCTAGTCCCACTTCCTGTATCTCACACTGGCCCCACCAGATGCCCCTGGGAGCACAAGAGACTAGAGACCTGTCTCCTGATCCCCCTCCCCTGCATCTGGCATTTGGAGGTACCTTCCTTTTAAGCCTGGAGATTATACATCGCCACAATGGCTTGTAACCTGCGATGGACTTTTCATCCAGGAATCTGTCCAATCCTCTTTTAAAGGCATCTAGGCCAGGTGCCATCACCGCTTCCTGTAGCAAAGAGTTCCACAGACTAACAACACGCTGGGTAAATAAATCTTTTATTTTGCATTCTCTCTCCCAACACTCAATTGGAGTGGATGTCCCCTGGTTCTGATATTGCGTGAGAGGCGAAAAAGAGTTTCCCCCCTCAGGCAGCTTTTCTCTAAAGAGCTTCTGGAGCTCTTCACAATCCCTTCTGGTCTTCAAATCCCGAGAGAAGTGTTGCACTTCTCTCGGGATTTGCATGCAACTCTTGGTTCTTTTTCTCAATACATTCCCCCTCCCTTCCAATGCTATTTTATAACCGGTGGGCGGAACAATGAGGGGTAACCCTCACCCCAAAGAACAAACTGACAGAACGGGGAAGGGGTATGAGAAAAAAGAGCTGTTGTTGGGCATACACAAGACTGGAGGAGGCTGGCCGGGGCGGGGAGGGCGCTCGGGGTTTCCTCTGCCCTTGGGTTGCCCTTAATTCTCCTCTCTGCACCCGCCGTTTTGAATTTGGCGCTCCCAAATTCGATTCCCACGGTTGCCTGGAGCCCGTTTTTATTTCTCCGCCACTCCCCTCGGCAGTGCAGTCTCCTCCTCCTTCCCGGTCCTTCGCTAAACCGGCTCGACTCCGGCCGGCACCTTATAGCGAATCCTAACTGTGCTGCCGCGGCGCCTCACGCTCGGCTCCTGAACTGCATTGCTGTAGGAACGCGCAGGCCAGCCGGCCAGCAGGCAACCCTTCCTGCCTGCCTGCCCCTCCACCCCACCCGCACCCCTTTGAGTAGAGCCGCCTGAGCCCAAGCGAGGCAAAGCGAAGGAGCCGGCGCGGTGAGGGGACGTCGACGGCAGCCGCCGCCTCTCGGACCTGCCCCCCCTCTCCCCTGGCCGCCGCTGCACATTCCGAAACCACCCCCGTTCCTAATAAAGCGATGGGACTTGGGCACTCGCTCCCGGCCCCCTCGCTCCCTATAAATACTCCCCCTGCCAAGACAGCAAGCTTGGGTTGCTCCTAGTCTGCCTGCCCCAAAAAAACCCCAACAAGACCAAAACCCCAGCAGAAGCGGCAGCAGGGAAGCCAAGCCAAGCCGGCAGGGCAGAGCAGAGCAAAGCACAAGGCGGCGGCGGCGGCGGCGGCGGCGGGTGCCGAGCAGAGAACCGTCCCCTCCTCTCAAGACCCACTAAATCCGGCGAGATGCCCCGAGTAGATGCAGACCTCAAGCTGGACTTTAAAGATGTCTTGCTTAGACCCAAGCGAAGCAGCCTTAAAAGCAGAGCAGAGGTGGGGTTATTTCCGAACATGCATGTTTAATTTTTTTTAAAAAAAATTCTTCCCTTTTATTTCTTTCCTTCTCTTTTCCTCGTAATACTTCTCGTCGAATATAACGCCGGCATAGCAATATCCCTTTCGCTTTAATTGCATCCCCCACCCCCGCTTTAAGGACGAGGCAAAATCTGCCTTTCCCGCCTCTTGTCGTTTCCTCCTCGTCACTCGTCAGCGTTAAATAATCCAGAGAGCTTTCCCCTTAACAGGACTAGGTTCTCCTGGTGCCTAGCTAAAGTCCCACGACAGGCGGGGTTTTTGGGGGTTTTTTTTTTGGGAGGTGGGAGGGGCACCCCCTTTCGCCTTGGGCGGAAGGAAAGCTGAGGAAGGCCCCTTGGCCGACTCCCCAAGTGTCGAACTTGCCAGAAGCCGGTTATTCTCGCTGCCATGTTACCCAGAGACTGCCTAGCGCCGGCCCTGACAGGTGTAGCGAGAGCTGGCGGGTTGTTATTTGCAAAAGACCCGGCGCAGGCAGGCGGAGGAAGGTGACCTCGAGTCGGAGGACACGGTGTGCTCCGAGGGGGGGAGGCTGTTGGTAGAGGCGCGTCGGAACATAACGACACGACCCCCCCTTGTTCGGGCAAATGGGGGGGGCGACGGCTCAAGTTGCACCGTGGATCGGAGGGGCCTGCGGGTTGGTTTGTGTTTTCGCCGGGGGGGGGGGGACAAGGCCACTCGCGCGTCTCCGTCCACGCTCCGAAAGCACAGCGTCTGAACTTGAGCCGCAGCCAAATAAAACTGTTAATAATCCCGTGACTGGCAGAAACTGCTCGGGAGTATACGATTGCGAAGATTTGGTCTGTATGGGTCATACAAGAGCTTCATCATCCTTCAGAATGGGTAGTTTATATTGTGATAAAAACGTTCCACTTCGATTCTGCAGCTATTTGAAAAGGACGGGAAAGATCTCATGTTACCTATGCATAACAAGGAGAGATCAGGAAAAATATGGTGAGGAATAAGTCTCTGTGGGATGCCAGCCTTGACTGCCTAGTCGGACTACCCAGATTCAGAGGCAATCTGCTGCATGTGCTGGTCACCTGCTCAGGCAATTAATATGCTGATCTGGATAGTCCTTTGGATTTTGTCCAGCAAGCCTCTTTTGTTTATATACTTGCAATACAGCTTTTGTGCATTAGTGGGGATAGAGGGGACAGACATGACTGCCTGTCAGTAAAACTGCAGCTTCCCCCCCCTTTAATTTTATTGTAAATTCTTGAAATTTTGTTGGTTGTAAGCCAATGATTGACATCATCATTTTAGTACTATTGCTTCAAGACTGGTGTCTCATGTAGACATCCTGTCTTGCATCCTCCAGCAGCCATTATTACTCTTGAAAACATTTTTCAAGTAAACATTAGTGGACCGGAATAACATTGACCGGAGCATTATTCATCTGTGACTTGAATAATGTTGCTGGAAGTCCCTCTGGAATCTGGGATTATAATATCCATTAATCCAACATGACCTGTGGAATGGTCTACCTATCTATAACCTGGGGCACAACATTCCAGAGATAAAAGGGCACTCTAGAATTACAATGATTTTTTTTGTGGGGTACTGTAAGGGCTAAATAATACATTTGATCAGTCAGGTGATTAGTAAAAGGAGGAAAAAAATAACACTCTCTTTAATGCTAAACTTCATCTAGAACAACTTTACTTGGCCATATTTCACAGTGACCTTTATGTGGATGCTAAACTGATACTGCTCAATGGGATGGAGTGACTAGTGGCCTAGAGTTCAAATCCCCCATGCCTGCAGAGGAAAAGAGCTGGGTGAGATTGCTCAGAGTGTGTTTGGTTGATGGAACTACATGTTCTGTAACTTGTGTGGCCATGGACACATTGCACAGTCCCAGAATGCCATTAGAATGATGGGCACATCTGAATACTTTAATCCTAGAAAATCCCAGGAAGATCATATAACTCAGAATGGATTTGATAGCAAATCATTTTTATTAAGGTTGCTTTAAAGAAGTGGGCAATTGGTCCTTCAAATATCTTTGACCTGCAAAAATCATCAGTGCTAGCCAACATAGCAAGTAGCAAGGAATTGTGGAAGTTGCAGTAAAGAAACAAACAAAAAAGGTACATGCAGACTGCTTTGACAACCCATTTCATGATGTTAGGAATGTAAGAATCGTCAGAGAAGTTCTGAGTAAAATGAGTAGCTCCTGAATAGGTTTTCAAGGCTAGTAGCCATATGAGGTGTTTCACAACACCTCCCCCCCAAAAGACCACACAAGATATTGAATCTTAACTGTTAACAAGTTTTCTATGGTACAAACTTTCATGGATTGCATTGAATTGAATGCAGCTCATGAAAGTTTGCATCGAGTAAGACTGGTTAGTCTTTCAGGTAGAAAAGACTTGTTGCTAATTTCTAAGCATGCTGTTTTGCTGGGCGGGGGATGGAAAACAGCTATCGATTATTCATGTGCATTAATACATGTGAGATTTAGCTTTGTCTTACTTTTTGATACTCGTACACTATGTAGTATAGATGGGACCACAGTCATTAGGCATGATCCTGCTATTCCTGTGCATGTCTTCAGTAGAGAATAGGGTCTGCTGGAGAGAATGGCAAACAACAGGAATTCTGGAGCTTTCATTTAAGTGGATAACTAGTCTTTTAAACATGTCCATTACACTGATTTGGGTGTGATGGATTCCTGGACTGATTCTTGTCATTTTTGCACATCTGCTAAATAGGAGCCAGTTGTTCTGTTTTATACCATTTTCTTTTAGTGTATAAATTGGAATGGTAAGCCTGTGTTGCTCCTGGTAAAAAACGAGGGACAATGAGAGCCTTAGCATACTCTTCTTCCTTGTAAGATGAGACTCTACATCAGGGGTGTCAGACATGTGGCCCGGGGTCCATTTGCGGCCTGCCAGACGATAGTTTGTGGCCCAAGCCTTGCCTCCCCCCCCCCGAAGCGCCCACACAACCTCTGCTGTCAAGAGTCAAAAAAAGGCTCGCCTTGCTCACCGGCTCTCTCCCAAGACAGCGCCTCTTGCACCCTCCATCCGGAATTGCAGCCTTCCAGCCAGTCTACCTATCTGCTGGTTGCAGTTGCGGATGGAGGGTACAAGAGGCATTGTCTTGGGGGAGAGCCAGCGAGTGAGGCACGCTGCCGGCCCTTTCCCCCGAGCCGAGCGATGCCTGAGAGCGGAGCTTGTTCTTGGCCTGTCCTCAAAGAGCACCTCCCAGCTGCCAACAGCAGCTGCTGCCGCCTCTTCCAGGGAAGCGGCTCTCTGGCTCTCTTTCTCTCTTGGTATCCCCAGCACCAGCCCAGCCAGCGGCCGCCTCAGCATCCAGCGGTGCTTCCTCCTCTTCCTCCTTCTCGTCCTGCTTCAGCTGCCTTGGCTGTGGAGGCTGTCTGGACTTGCCTCGCAAAGTTTGCTCCTCTGTTGTGGTGGGGGTAGCTGCTGCTGCTGAGTGCACCTTTTTTTTGATGGGGGCCCTCAGAGGAAGGTTGCCAGACCTCTGTGTGTGTGTGTGTATGTGTTTGTGAGAGAGAGCCAGAGAGCCCTGTGGAGGCTCCCGCCCTGTTCTGTTTAGTTTCGCAGGTACCGACTGAGTGCACCTTTTTTTTGATGGGGGCCCTCAGAGGAAGGTTGCCAGACCTCTGTGTGTGTGTGTGTATTCGCTTGTGAGAGAGATCCAGAGAGCCCTGTGGAGGTTCCCGCCCTGTTCTGTTTAATTTCGCAGGTACCGATGGGGGCTTTTTTCCTTTGGCAAGGTGATTCTGTGAGAGTTTTTTTTTAAAAAAAATTATGTCGTGCCCTCCCCCCACCCCCTGCTAGTGTCCTCCCTTCTCTGCTTCTTCATCCTGCTGGTGGTGCTTCGCTTGTGAGAGAGATCCAGAGAGCCCTGTGGAGGTTCCCGCCCTGTTCTGTTTAATTTCGCAGGTACCGATGGGGGCTTTTTTCCTTTGGCAAGGTGATTCTGTGAGAGTTTTTTTTTAAAAAAAATTATGTCGTGCCCTCCCCCCACCCCCTGCTAGTGTCCTCCCTTCTCTGCTTCTTCATCCTGCTGGTGGTGCTGGTGGTAGTGGTGAAGAAGGAGCCGGAGGGAGTTGTGGCTGGCGATGAGGGCTTGCACGCCCCTCTTCCTCCTCCTCCGGGCTAAGGAAACTCCTAGGTGGCTTCCTTGGGCTCTTGCTCCGCTTGGCGGAAAATCTGATGCGGCCCAGCCTCACCCAGATTCTGCCTCCAGTGGCCCCCAGGTTCCTCCTCGGAGCCCCAGCCGGGCTAAGGAAACTCCTAGGTGGCTTCCTTGGGCTCTTGCTCCGCTTGGCGGAAAATCTGATGCGGCCCAGCCTCACCCAGACTCTGCCTCCAGTGGCCCCCAGGTAAATTGAGTTTGAGACCCCTGCTCTATGTTATACAATTAGTTAAGTATCATTTATTTAGAGGAGTCCTAATGTGCTTTTTAAACAATGATTTTCAACAGAGAGAACTATTAATATAGCAGACTATGTATAGGAATAAAATAATTCCCAGGTTAATAACTTGAACAACCAAACAGCAGTCAGCAAAAAGAACTATAATCTCATTAGCCGCACCAGACAACAATAATGTATTGTATCTAATAAGCCTTTAAGGCCTGCCTAAAAGCACTTCCAAGTTCCATAAACTCAGGCCACCGGGCTGGTTGATGATAGAATGATCAAAAGGTTTTCTGAGCTGGATCCTAATATTTATTGGGGAAAATACTCTCTTTAGCTTTCTTCTAGACTAGAGTTTTAAAATTAACAACTAGCATATTAGATTTGTTCTAAAAGTAAACTAGTTGGCTCATGCAGCTAACCTCAATAATCAGTCAGGCTGCTTGCTGTATTTTGGACCACTCGCAACTTCTGAACAGCTTTAAGGGCACTCCCATATAAAGCACACTGCACACAATTTGGAAGTTTTACAGGGCTTGTGCCATACCAGACAAGTCCCTCCTTTCAGGAAAGGGTATAATCAGTAGAAAAAAGGCAAAGCTGATAAAATGTCTTTCTGTCAGTTGCCTCAACCTTAATAATACAGCAAAAGACCTAGATCCAGAAACATGCTGAACTAAAACCAGCCCTTTTAAAAGAGTGTTAATGTCGTGCCAGTTGGCTTTTGGCAGGAGTGTGATTCCACTGGTGGCCTTTGCTGAAGAATTAAAGCCAAATGTGTGGAATGTGTGTGTCTTGGTTTGGAGAATTCCAGGTTCTTAACAGGCTTTAGACCAGCCTACAATTTAAATAGGATAATTTCACTATTCTTATTACATGTTTCTTTTATGAGTGTAAGCATGTTTTATCAGATGGACTCTAGAAATTTAATTTGAAAGAAATGTTTATTTAAAATAATCTGTTGTGGTGATTACTTTTCCTAATCATATACATTTATGTTAATGAAGTTTTTGTCACTGAAAAGCATACGAATAATTTTATACTGTAAAAGGTGTTCTCCTTTGCTGGTACTACTGATGGATTGATATTTTTGCAGGTAGATCTTATGCGTACCTTTACATTCCGTAACTCCAAACAGACATACACAGGGATCCCGATTATTGTAGCAAATATGGATACTGTGGGCACTTTTGAAATGGCACAGGTTATGACTAAAGTAAGTACCTTTTAAGTCTTCTTCATGTACAATAAATAAATTTACATTATGGACATATATGAAATATAAAATTAAAAACAAAGTAAAACGTTAAGATAATTAGACAGTTTTTGACAGAAGCAGACTAGTTCAATAGCATTACCTCAGCTGTTTACTAGATCTTCTTTTGTACATGTGGTGGGGCATAAATTAAGTAATAGTATTTAAAGTGTAATCTGCTTACTCTGAGCTGTTCCATTGTCTCAAATACAACTAATCTGGAATAAAAGGATTCTAGGTTCCAGGCCTAGCCTTCCTCAGACTTGTGTACTTTACACAGACATGTGAAAGCATGATCCAGCTGGCTAGTGTTTGTGTTAACTTAATCATTTTAAATACCTCTGATTTTAATCAGTGCTTCTTTAAGTACTTAGTCACTAACCATTCCCAAATCTGTAACCAAACTGCTGTGGAAAGAATTTTGTGAAAGAATTTGTAGATTGTATAGGGATAAAAATCATTATCACATTTGTCATTGTTTCGACAAAAATGCTTTTCCCAGGGTTCTTTTAAATGTAACTCTGTTACATTTGAAATTTCTTTTAGTGGAAAAATGCTCATGAGTATGGGAAAATGTATCTAGGGATCTGATCTGCATTTACACCTGTATCTATGTGTACAAAACCAACAAAGTGCAGACTACTGTATAGGACAATTTTCTTGATCATTACTTCCTGTAATATAAAAAGATTAATATAAGCTGTAGAATGATAACTGTTAACAAGGGCACTTGCAGGCTGCTAGACATGTTCATTTTCTCTGTGTGAATGCTGTAAAAAGATTTTGGTAATAATAATTTTGGAAATAATTAAAGAGATCATAATTTATGATTTTCCACATGATCCAAAAATAGTACCTGTGACAACCCCAGACCTACTGGAGTATACCACACTTTAATTAAGCTGCCACCAACCATTCCCTGTAAGGAGTCACACAGACCAGGAATGGATTTTACTAAACAAAAGAACAAGGTTTATTTAAATAACAAACAGGGTAAATAAAAAGATCAGGTAAATAGGATAATGTAACGTGGCATAGTCCCAACCATATACATACAACCAATTAGTTCCCACAGAACACTTTAAAGTAAAGCACAGACCCTGAACCTATCAGTTCTGGCTACCTATATAGAAACCTGAACCTATCAGGTATGTACTAACTGACACACAGTTGTACTCAGTCTGACACACAG